ATGTTCAATCTTTTTTGCAATTACGAATTTTAATTCGTTATCACAAAACTTCGATAACAATGTCAGTTTTTATTAAGAAATTATTTAAAATTTAAAAACTTTTTTAGAGGCGAAGAAAAAGCTTGATATTCTTGATTTTTCTTTCTTTTTTTTTTTCATATATTTTTTCTTTTTCTTAAGTATCAAGAAATCATTATACTATTTCAATTATATCAGAATAATTCATTTAAAAAAGAAAAAAAGATGTATCTTGTTATAGCAATGATAAGAGATATAAATTTATAAATTTTTTACAAATTGCTTTTGAAGTATTTTTATAAAAGATGTATATACACATCTCGTAAATCTGATTATTTTATATTTGATGCATACAATGTAAATATCATAGAAATCAATTAATCCAATTTCGAATTACGTTTACTCAAGGATCTTTAAAATCGTGATGAAATGATGCAATGGCTATTTAAAGAGTCTTTAAACGAGCATGTATCTGAGCATGATCGATCGATTTTAATGATATTTACAAATGGCTTTCGGTAAAAGTTAAAAAAAAAAAAAGAAAAAAGGAATTCTCATTTTTTATTTTTTTTAATTTTTTTTTTTTATTTCTGTTACAACAGAGTACTTATTTACTTTGTTCTTTACATATTTCATATAATATCCAAATTTCTCCGTATTTACTCAAAGAAAAAAAAAAAGCAATAGAATAAAATAAAAAAATAGAAGAAAAAATACGGAGTACAGGATCATTTTTAAATAACGTTTATTTATATTTAAAATGACGCATGAATACTCGTTTCATATATATCCTAGACTGTTCACAAATTATATTTTTTATTGTGCTACATTTCTTTTTTTTTCTTTTTTTTTTTTTTCAAAATAACATATCATCGATTGTGATTCTCGATAAAAGAACGATGCTTTTGAGTAAATATTTGAGTTTAAGACAAAAGAAAAAAAAATATATATATATAGCGTATTTATGTATATTACTATTATTGATAGTTTCACAATATATCATTCAAAAATGCGATCACGCGTATATGATAAAAATTTCTTTATTTCTTTATAGACTCTCACGAAGGATCTCGAAAACTGGTACCTAAATCGATTTTTAAACTGACCTAGGAACTTTTCTGGGGGGGGGGGGAGGAGAGGAGGAGGAGGAGGGGATACATCCTAAATACGTACGTTTAATTTTTCAAAGATTAATCTGATGAACGAAGTCAAAGACGTAATAACTTTGATTGATTAAAAAATCATTCGTACAGATAATTATTTAAAAGTGTTAACATTTTCATTTGTTAAAGCGTACATAGATAATTTGTAATCGATTAATCAAATGTTAAATCAATCATTAAGGATTAATTAGTATATATAAAACTAGGGAAAAAATTTTTTGGTTTATCTTCTACTTCTATTTTTTAATTTCGTATCAAAGTAATTCGAGTAATAACGTATGTATGTATATACGTCGAGCGTATTTTATTGCTCGACGAATATCCACCATTCTATTTCACATTTCTCTTTGTTAGAGGAGAGAAAGAGAGAGAGAGAGAGAGAGAGAGAGAGAGAGAGAAGGTAGGTTAGAGAAGTTGTTTCTCTTAAGAGTTTACTGTCAAGCGCTCTCGTTGTACGAATACCAATATGGTTGAAGTAGTGGCCTCAACAAGCCAAGCAAACTACGTTAACCCAAGCCACTGAAACTTTTAAAGAGATACCGTACTATTCGCATAGCGCGTTGATTTTGTTTCTACGTAGATATATATGTATGTATATATGTATATATATATGTATGTATGTATCTCAAAAGTAGATCGGATTCGTCGAGATATGGCGTTGAAAAAAATGAAACGAGCTGCGCAGTTTAAATGCGTAACCCTTTGAAATCTAGCAGTGAAAGATAAATAATCAGAGAGAAAGAGAGAGAAAGAGAGAATTTTCTTTTTTCTCTTCTTTTTTTTAGTTTTTTCTTTTTCTTTCTTTTTTTTTTCTTTTTTTTGTTTCAAAGCTTTAAACTTTATCTCTGAACGTAGAGTTAATTAAAGAGAAAGTGTGACAATTATGAGTAATGTTTTATAAGAATTATATCTGGCGAATTTATTGCATAGTACTGATGAGCTTTACGAATTTAATACTTTAAATGGAAAAATATTGATAACAACACACGTCACATGAATAAGAGATCTTTAATTTTAATATTCTTTCATTTGTCATAGTCATTGAGATGTGTTAGAAAAGTGAACATTTTTTTTTTTTATATCGAATCGAATGTCAGATCCTAAACATTTTTATTTATCTATCACCCAGATATTATTAAATTAATTATTAAATCATCTCGTTTAGTTACTAGGAGGAATGTTAAAAAAACAAAACAAAAAAAGGAAGAAACAAAAAGTAAATTTGATTGTTAAATGTTCTCGACATGAATCAGTTTTAATATTCGCCGATGTTCTTAGTAAAATAAACGAGAGATGATTTACTTAACGAGTTTGGTAAAACAGAGGGGTTGCTTAATGATTAGTCTGACTTCGTAATATCATCGAGTTTCCTTGATACGAATACATATACATATATTCATACATACATACATACATAGACACACACACATATATATATATATTTAACATAGGTAATCGCGATGCTACCTACCATTTATACGAGATAACTTTTAATCGCATTAAAGTTCATAATCTGCCATTTACTGACTAGAACCATAATTAAAATTTTATCGCTCGAGCGATTAAGAACGAGACATCGTGTGCATTTAACCCTCATGTATTTCTTTTCATCTTTCTTTCCTCTTCGTCCTCTTTTCTCTTTTCTTCTTCATTTTCACATTTCTTTCTCTTATTCTTACTCGAACAGAGAAAGAACGAAAGAAAGAAAGAAATAAAAGGAAGAAAGAAGGAAAAGGAAGGAAAAAAGATGGGAGTAGGGAAGAAAAAAATATTTTTTTCTTTTCGCCTCTCGAAAATGGTATACGATAGTGCGATAAAAGGTTGCTCTCTTCGTGCAATTTCAACTAGAAGGAACGAACAATAATTCGTCTTGGAGTTTCCACGTAACTGACAAGCGGAACGCGTTTGCTCTCTCTCTCTCTCTCTCTCTCTCGCTCCCTCGTATCCTGGCTCGGAACCTTTCACAGGACACTGCACCTGTTCCCTTCTTTACTCCTTTGTAATGTTCTCGCTAACGTAAGAGCGAACGACGACAGCTTTTCGAGTGGTAAAAGTCGCGAAGACGTTACGAATCGTTCGTGAAACGTTAGTCGCTAGACGGATGAGTCCAGAAGAAAAACATTAGTATTGTATGCTGGTAGATGAGAACTACGTACATACGACCATTTGCGTTAGGATATTAGTAGAGAGAAAAAAAAAGAAAGATGAAATAAAAGAGTGGGTAGAAGGAGGGAAAGGGATAGGAAGAGGGGAGAAAAAGTAGGAAGGATACAGCATCGATAGAGTAGGAGTTCGTGTCGTTGAGAAGGGTGGAAAAGGTGCTGGCTATATAGAAGACGCGTGTATTGATTACTTCAAGAGAGAGAGAGAGAGAGAGAGAGAGAGAGAGAAGGGAGACAGAAGTTGCTTCTTCAAGATTTTCTCCTTTTCTAAGAAATTCTTTTTCTTCGGTTCCCGTCTTCACGTTGCTCATCTATTTCTCTTTCTCTCTTTAAAAGAAAATTTTTGCATTTTCTTATATCCTACGAGACATTGAGTGACTATTGTTATTACCCGCGTGGGATTACATTCACGATTTTTTTTTTTTTTTTTTTAATTTTTCCACTTGTCATTTTTCTTTTCTTTTCTTTTTTCTCTCTTTTTTTCTCTCTTTTTTTTTTAATTCGAAGAATTAAAAAACATTTTTTTTTTAATACAACAGATCGCATGTTATTTATTAATTATTTTATTAATTAATAACTTCATTAATCTAGTCTGTATTTTTTATTACTAAATAATTTTAATGGAAACTAACAAATAAATTATTGCATTTCTATAAGAAACCGTGATATTCTTATTGTTAATAATTTATATTTGATCCTTTTCAATATCCAATATGGAATAAATAATTTTTTTCAGTAACGATAGTTGGATTCCCTGTTGAACGAATATTTTTGTTTCTCTTTTAATTTACGAGCAAACGAATGTACGCTCGTACCTTTTCTTTGGAAACTTCCGTAGGTAAGGATAAGAGCGGAAATACTTACTTTGCTCATATTCTCTTCTACGTATAACGTCATATCCGCTTACCTCTCGAAGAGAAATTTTGCATCAAAGCGAACTTCGTCTGGTCTCAAGTTCCAACATTATTATACGCATCGTCATTTTTCAGCTTTGGCTTTGAAGCGAGTGCCATTGGAATGGTAAACTCGTAAAAAAGAAGTGAAAAAAAAAGAGAGAAAAAAAAAGAAAAAAAAAAGGAAAAAGAAAAATAACATGTCTACTAATTACATTTTTTCTCTCTCTCTCTCTCTCTCTCTCTTTTTTCTTTTCTTTTTTTTTTTGTTTCTTTCGAGCGCGAGAAGAAGTAAAGGAATGGGAAAACACAATGGAGAAAATGCAACGACGAGAAAGAAAAGAAAAAAGGTCAAGTCAAATGAAACGTATACGGTTGTTTTCTCTTTTCTTTTTCTTCTTTTTACGAACATTTTCGATCGTTCATTCGTTTCACGATTCGAAAATTCTTTTAGAATCGAGTTAACAACAAAGCAACGAAGAAAAAAAGAGAGAAAGAGAGAGAGAGAGAGAGAGAAGATGGGAGAAAACGTATCTATCTATCTATCATGGTTTTCGTTTTTATCGTAGGAAAATTAGCAATTTCGCAGGATCGTCTGGTAGCCGTGCAAAGACCGCAAAGACCGCTATGCTCTCGTGGTTTAAAGGAAGGGTTTGTAGAGGGCACAGAGTGGATACATCAGCACGTCCACCCTTCCTATTCCTTTTCTCCCGTTCGCGAATCTAGCTACCATTACTCCTCGCATTTTCTCTCCTCCCTTCATCCCTTCCCATCGTCGTTCTTGCTTTTCCGTGAACGTTATCCTAGCCGACGAGCACCGGCAAAGGCAGTAAAAAGGACCATGTCGAAATTACGAAACTGTCGCTGACGATGAAGTCGAGATGCTTCGAAAATTGGTGGTTCTGAAAACGCGCTGAAGTGCGCGCCCGTGTGTGTGCATACCCTCTATATACAATTCAAAATACAGCTAAACTTTTTGACGTTTTTCCAATAGCGGCGATGATCGACGTGACAAATTTAAATTATGCCTTGAAAGACTTTCGCTCTTCAATTTAAAATATAATTTTGGTATTACGATAACAGATTTACTTCTTTTTCTTTCTTTTTTTTTTTCTTTCTTTTTTCTTACTCGCTTATTTACTTACTTCAAGATCAATCATTTCCTATGAAAACATTTTCGAGAAGGAATGGTAATATTTAGAAAAAATACAAAAAAAAAAAAAAACAAAAAATGGAGGAAAAAGAAGAAGAAAGAATAGGTATAAAATTGTGTAACATTTACTGGTATTAAATAACGTAAGAAAAATTATTCGATCAGATCGACGAAACCAAGTAAAGAGAAAAATAAACTTACCACTTTGAAAATGTTCCGTAGGTATTTTCTCGGGTTTACGGGACGCAGTTGATGATTCGTTCAGCAACGATCGTTAGAAGACGTAAATACATCCGTTCCTCTTCTCAAAGAATGGACGAAGTAGCGAGAAGGCAGGAGATTCGATTGTATCGTGGAAGAGAGATAAAAAATCTGTTCTTGTTTGGTCTAGGTCCTTCTCATTCTCTCTCTCTCTCTCTTTTCTTTTCTTTTCTTTGTCCGTCTCTTTTAGACGCAGACGGTTTCCATTTAACGAACTTTCCTACGTCCTGTGTTTGCGCGCGCTTATTTAATTTCTTTGCGCTCGTCCAATCGTCGTTGGGCAATTGAAACTAGAAAAGGTAAGAACGAAGAATAAAATAAGAAGGATAAGATAGAAATAAAAGAAATAAAGGACGAAGAAGAGAAGAAACGGTGCGCGTTCTCAATCCAATGGTAATTCGATTTCGACAAACGTCGAGCAAAATACATTGTCCTCGGATGGTTACCTCGGTCGGCCTTAGTGAAAGCATTATACTATGTCTCTGATTCATGTGCTGCACCGTTACCTTTTCTCCCTTTGAAGACGATCCCCTTTGCACGTTCCGTGAATATCCACGATTACGAATTTCCGGGGGTTTTTATTTTTTTTTTTTGCGAACGCATCGTAAATACGAAAAAAGGTAAGAGGTATCCTATACCCTACTACAATTCCTTTTTTTTCCTTTTTTTTTTTTTCTTTATTTATTTTTGTTTTTCTTTTTTTCTTTTTTTTTTCTTTTTTTTTTTGTCTTATTTAATAAAAATTTTGTAATACGAAAGAAAAGCAAAAAAAAGAACGTCTAATGCTTTCCATTTAATGCGATATGTTACTTCGATATGTTACATAGCATTGAGTTTTATTACAATAAACAAAGATCGTAAGACGAAATTAAATATGATAATATGAAATGAAATAAAAATTAAATGATAATTATAAAATTTATCATTGATTCGGAAAAATCATTTGAATGATTTAATACTGACTTGACCATTACGTTATTCTTCTCGAAGAATGGTCGAAGTAGCGATTTTTTACTTTTATATTTTGGTACGCAATTAATCTAACACTCTTAAAGGAAATACGTCTTACCTCTAGGACGGTTTAAACGAGTATGAGCATTGCCTTGTGATAATACTAGCGACGACCTCCAGAAGTTGTCTTAAATGAAAATATCAACAATCGAACGTTTCTCAGAGGACGTCTAATACCTCTATACGATTCATTTTGTACTTATCGATTTTATGACACGTATTAAATTAAAATATATATATATATATATATATATATTTTAATTATATATATATTTTAATATATATATATATATATATATATATATATATATTTTGTTTTTTTTTATGAAAAATATATACATGCCGATTCAAAAGTTCTTAAATGATTTTAATAATCGATTATTTTTTCTCGAGATTTTTTAGACTAATTTCTTTTTCTTTTCTTTTCTTTTTTCAAATTACAATACTACGAGCTTAGTGAATTTTTTTCCTATCCTTGTATTTTATAGTTTTTTTTTTCTTTCTTTCTATACGTTCCATATATGTATAGTTAAAATATACAAAAATTTATATTACATTTAGAAAAAATTGTAATATATTATATTTTACATTGGAATATTCTAATGCTTTTCAAGGGTCGTTAAAATTAATCCAAATTAGTATGCAATTATGAATCTTGTCGATAAATAAAAGTAAAAATATTTCAGTTGATTCGTCTCTCTTTCTTCTCTCTCTCTCTCTCTCTCTCTCTCTCAACCAATTAAATTATCTGTAATAATTTATTACCGTTCAATCATTGAATCTTTTAATCGTTGAAAAATATTAAACGAAATGTTGTTCGTAATATTTCTCAAATTTCTCGATATAGAAATAGTTTTATATTGCCACATATAACTTTTATATTATATATATTATTATATATTACTGTATACAAGTTGATATTACGTTTATAATTCTACTGAAAAAAAAAAAGAAAAAAAGAATATATTTATCTGCTTGTTAAGATTGCGTGTAAAATATCAGTAGAAATTAAAACAAATAAACATATAACCTAACAAGTTTTGGTAAAATGAAAATTTGGCTTAACGAACTGTTATTCGATAAAGTAATGAAATATTTATTATTAAAAAAGTTATTAAAGGCTAACGGTGAAAAGTGTTAATCCATCGAAGGATTATTACATGTAATTGAAGAATTTAATAAAACAGTTTATATTTATATGAGGTTTCATTTAGACGAGAGTATAAGAAGAATGAAACGTGAGTTTATTTATCGTGAACTTGTCTTCCTCTCTCTCTCTCTCTCTCTCTCTCTCTCTCTCTGCTTCTCTCTCTCTCTCTCTTTCTCTCTGCCTTTCTCTCTCTCTCTGTCTCTCTCTCTCTTTCTGTCTTCCTCTCTTTCTCTTTCTCTCTCCCTCTCTCTCTCTCTCTCTTTCTATTCTGGTAAATAAATAAAACGGTAAGAAGAAAGATCGTTGTCCTTTAGAAGGATACGAAGAAGAGAGAGAGAAAGAGAGATAGAGAAAGAGAGAAGAACTGGAAAGGTCGTCGTCGTCTTAGTCGTCGTAATGTCGTCGTAGTAGTCGTAGCGTCGTCGTAGTCGTCGTCGTTTACTGCGATGTTAGCGATCTCGCGGAATTCGGCGACTGAACGGAAGGAGAACCTGGATGGAGAGGATGGCGGCCATTTGTCATCGTCAGCGTCGCGACGTCGTGACACCCGACAGTGAACACTGCTAAACCAATTAAAACTATGTCGTCCTCGAAGAGAGACAGAGAGTAAGAGAAAGAGAGATAGAGATAAAGTGAGAAAGAGAGACAGACAGACAGACGGACAGAGAGAGAGAGAGAGAGGGAGAGGGAGAGAGAGAGAATGTAGCGCGCATGTCGAAGGGTGAGAACGAAAGAGAAAGAGGGTGCTGGTTTAACTTCAACGTTCAAAACCAAAGGCCAAAGTGTAATAGGCACGAGGAAGATGGAAAGAGAGGATAAGGGTAAGCGTGAGAGGGAGAAGGAGAAAAGTCACAGGAACAGGAAGAGGATAGGAAACGTAAACCAGTCCAGTCGGCAGAAACGACGGGTCCTAAATTATGCTTGGCTCGATAATTTATGCTTTCTCCTTTAAACCTTCTCTACGATCTCAGCGAATCGAACGATGCTCGGTAGCTTAATGGATTTCTGTACCTTCGATGTATTTCCTTTTTAATATCGATACTTATCGCTGGTAAGTAAGAAAGCTTTTCCATTTTGTTTTTGTTTTCGTTTTTTTTTTTTTTCTTTAATTTCTGCAATGCATAGATATAATATTAAATGCATATATATTATGTATATAAATTATTTCAAAACATTTTTATAACTCTTAACATTTATTTATCTTTGCGATGATCCTTTTTTTCTTTTTTTTTATGTGTATAAGCTATTATACAAAAAGTTATTTCATTCTTTCGAACTTTCTTTTCTTCTGTAATGCATAAATGTAAAGTTAATAGTAAACGTCACGTTCGATATAATACATATATATATATATATATAAATTATTTCAAATGTTTTTATGATTGGTTTTATTTACAATACTCTTCTTCTTTTTTTTTTCTTTCTTCTTCTTTTTCTTTCTATTTTTTCGTATTACGAGATCATAACTCTTATTTTCTCAACTTTGTTGTTTTTCTTTTTTTTTCTTTTTCCGTTCTTTTTTCGTTTCGTTTTTCCCCATTACGCCATAAATATTATAGGAAGGATGTAACGTGAAGAATAGAAATGTACTGTTAAATCGTTTAGCTCATAACAAGGTATTCACGTTTTCGGAGACGATTAAGACCGAGAAAGGGAAATTGTGTATCGCTTTAACAACTATAATTATTAAACCTTCTTCCTCCTATTTGTGTTCGTTTCCTAGGTTGCCTATGTACGTAGTTCGATGTTAACGCTCGCATTATAACTTCTCGTAGCTTTGGAAACTTGGATCGTTTATATTGAGTTCCCAAAGCACACGACGTACCCTAAGCGCAACTAGTGGCGGCGTTGGAGACGTGGTCGCATCTTTATGTAAAACGATTTTACTAGAAACTGAAAAGGGACTTCTTATTTTCGACGTTGCCTTAAGCCGTCGTTTCGATAAAAATTTTTATCGATTATTCGCAACGTTTTACCAAAGGAGAACATTTTATAATATATTTTCCGTGAGGCGAGAACTTTATTTTTTAATTAATAACTTAAGAATATAGTCATTCTTTTGAAACTTAATATTTCAAAGCTTACGTTCGCGTTAATCCATTTACTTGAGTTAATGTCGAACAAGTGTGGTAAACTTGAATTTTCTTCTGTAATCCAATTCTTCTTTTTTTTTCCCTTTTTTTTCTATCTTTTTCTTAAAATGTATATTATACGATAACATGATTTTTTAATGGCGTAATGAAATATAAAAAAAAGTTTATTATAAGAATAGAATTAAATTTGAATATATGTATGATTCAGTCGTTATGGGAGATTCGTGAAAATCGAAACATGTTTATTCGACGGTTCTCTTTGTTGATTGCTCTATGGTCTTTCTGTTGACAATGAGTCTCGGTTTGAGAAAACAAAATACGATAGGATATCGAAACTCTGCTCGTATTGATACATACGTTATAACCATAGTTTTGATTGGGAAATAATGTTTGTATAAAGTCTAGCAAAAAATATACGTCTTTGATTCTTCCTGTCGATTATGAAAATCTTCGAATAATTTCATAACGAATAAACATTAATACTTCAGGATCATGATATACAATGATCGATTATATTATTTATGCATCATTCGTTTATTTGATAATTTGTTAAAATAAGAATAATCAAAGGTTCTTCTTAATAGAAATCTATCGATATTGATAGTATATTTATCAAAAATATTCATACAAGATTAATGTCGTGAAATAAATGAGAGAAAAAAATTATTCTTTTAAAACGAGAAGTACAAAAAACCGCGAACTTTTTGAACGACTCTTGTAATATTAAAAAAGCAATACTAAAAAAAAGGAAGATTAATACTTCATTCTTCAATAATTTCAATGTCGCGAAATGAATGAGAGAAAAAAATTTTTCTTTTAAAACGAGAAGTACAAAAAACCGCAAACCTTTTTAATGACTCTCGTAATATTACAAAACCAATATAAAAAAGAAAAAAAAAAAGGAAAAATTAATACTTCATTTTTCAATAATTTCAATTTTCCGGGATAAACAAAGGAGAAATTATTCTTTTACAACGAGTTATAATGTGAAAATATGAAAAATACGAAGGAAATTGTATGGAGGAGATTAAAAAAAAAAAAGAAAAAATGGACGTGCGGGTATTCGAAGAAAAGAGAATCGAGCTAGTAACACATTTCCGAAATTCGACGTCTCCTGCCCGTTTCTTTTCTTCTTTTTTTCTTTCTTCCCTTTTTTTCTTTTCTCTCTCTTTTTTTTCTTTTTCCCCTCGACGTCGCGGTTTCCGTTCCGGTGAGAGAAGGCTGAGTCGAAGCGTAACATTCTCTGTCGCCGTATGAAAGCAAGAGGCACGCGTCTCGGGCGAGAGAGCGCGTCGGTAGAAATTCAATTTCCCGTTTGTGCCGGACGTCGATGCTTTTGGGAAAACAACTGTCAGAGAACGCGAGCGTTGCCGAACCAAACGAAAAGGTTCGAGGCTATTTACCAGACTATTCCGCGAGACGACTCAGGCTTTTCAGGAAGTGTCGATTGCAAGGGTAGACCATTCTCTGAGAAAATAAATCGATCTTTCGAAAACAAAGTCTTACCTTTTCTTAAAAAGTACAATCTTTTCTATTCTGCTTTACGATATCTCTCACCCCTTCTTTTATTCTTTTTCTTTTTCTTTTTCTTTTTTTTTTTTTTTTTTTTTTTCTTTTACTTCATTTCATTTTCTATATCTATAAGAATATTCGATATAATTCTTTCTTATCATTGAAATATTGAAACATTGAAACAATAATTTCGAGAGATAAAATCAATATCAGATATAAATTCTTGATACGATAAATTTCGTAATTAATAATTATTATTTTTTCGAGAGATAATGAGGTACATATGTACGGTTCAAGATTTTCTTAGAAAATATCCAAAATTTTAGTTTATCATAGAGAGATACAGAGACAGAGACAGACAGAGAGAGAGGGAGAAAGAATGAAAGAACGATTTTGATCGATCATCGATCGCTTTTGATAGTCGTTCGTATATCAAAAAGCCTTTGTTCCTATTGACTCGATGAAGAAAAGGAGGAGAAGAAAGACAGGTCTCCGAAGGATGACACTCGAACGCTTTCGTCGGAATTGTCGTACGCGTCGTTTGTTCGAAACCGGACGAGACGAATCAGAGTGAGGGATAACGTTGATGCATTTACGCGCTTTCGTGTTTCCGCCGCAATATCCTGAAGCCCATTCGATCCCGATAATCCGTGAGCGCGAAATCACCGATTTGTGCCTATTCGCGTTGATTGAGTGCGCCTGTATTTTAAAGGAATTACCGGAGTACGCGCGAGCACACCGACCAAACGGCTGAACGATCCAACGAACTGGGGGTTAACCGATCGAAAATGAATTCGTTTTCACTTCGCTATTGCTAAATTTATAGTCACGATTAAAAAGTATGTTTAACATTCAACGAAAAATAAAATTCAATTGCAACGTCAAATTTTTTATCTAATCCGATTAATAGAAAATTTTACGTTTTAACCTATGTGTGTGCGCGTATGTATATTTGCGCATTTGCGTGTAAATATATTTTCTTATTTATTTAATGTACATATATATATATATATATATATATATATATATATATATATATATATATATATATATATATATAAGTATATTGGTAACTAAGAGCATATATTCGTATTAGTTAAATTTATATAGGTAGATTGGTATACTAACTTTTCATGAGATTATGATAATAGACAGGAAAAAATTGGAAGATCAGTTAGATCTTCGTTACTAACAGCAAGTTCATTCGTAATCCGTCTGAACGAGTAGAGAAGACCTCCCGCCACTATGTCTATTACTCCGCTACTTAACTTCCAACTTCGCTAAGTGCCGGACATAAATTGTTACTTAGCAGAGTTTTGATTTATATTGCGAAGGAAGCGTTCTACGTCGTAACTATGTAACGCTGGTATTAGCCAAGACGACGACGTTCATCGGTCTAAGGAAATTTTGCTTTGTGATATCGTAACGGCTGTTAGTTGTCCTCTTCTTGACGTTATAGAAAATAATCGAGTTTCCTATGGAAATTCGTGAAATCTTTGACAAGATTAAACTATAACGTATGTATACGAGATTGATAGATAAAGTTATTAGATATTCAAGAATTATATTCTATATAACGTAGATATATTATATATTAGATCGTTATTATGAAATTTATTTAATCATAAGTCATTTCAGATATTAAGATAATAATTATTTTCAAGAATAAATAATATGTGTAAGAATATAAGAATATAAAAAAATATAAAAATAAATATATGTAATTTATATTAAAATACATTTTTTGTTTGTCATTATAGAAGAAATATAAATTTGCAATAATTCAAGAAAGATATAATATTTTTAAATAATACATATCCAATTGTAAAAGTATTTCGAAAGGAAAGACACGTTTTTAAATCACTCTCACGCTAATAATAACATAGAATTATTTTTATTCATGAATAAAAAAGTTCCATTGTAGGTAACGTAATTTATTACAATAAAGCAACAATTATTTATGATTCGATTTAATAAATACGATATTTTATAATTTTGCATATTTATTGGATCGATACGTAAATAGTTTTACTTGACAATAAAAAGAAATTCTTTAGTTATAATAGAAATTATTTATGAATCACTTGAATAATTTTGATAGTACTACGAACTGGATGAGGATTAATTAAAAATTTTTCAAATAGTATAATTGTTAAGAGAAGTTATATAGCAAAAGCTTCTGCTAACTTTAAATGATCAAAATAAAGAGAGAATGAGAGAGAACGAGATAGATAGATAGATAGATAGATAGAGAGAGAAGAGAGAGAGTGAGAGAGAGAGAGGTCGATCTAATTCATACCGACGCCGCTTCGACTTCTCGATATTTATTGGATTTTTAAGGGGATCGATAAAGTACGGAGTAAAATTTCATGGATTTAATTACATAACGACGAACGATGGTTTATAAGCTCCTTTTCTTATTTCATTTCATTCGTTACGTGTAACA